ACTGAAAAACAACATGGGTGTGTGTGTGTGTAAGTATTAACTACTTGGGGAGAAGAAACATCAAATGTAAGTATGGAAATGAAGCAAAGAACCCAAAGGTGAGTAGAAAGGGTAACGGAATCCAGGCAGGTCTGAGTTTGGGGACCACCATTTAAGGTGCCTGTCCTTTTGTTGATGCTGTGTGGCTTAGGGCAGAGCTCTTAACTTCTCCCGGTCTCAGTTTCTCTCTGTGGATTCATGAATGTTTTTGAATTCCAACAACCTAGAATTCTATTATCTTATTTTAACTTTCAGGGTGTTGTTCAATTCCATTACAGCAAAATAAAAACGTGCCTTATTTTTCAACAAACTGTAGTGGGTTCTCAAGAATATTAGTTTGGAAGGTACCCAAAGTCTCCAGAAATTCCTCAGCCTACCATACAATCTGCATAGTCTTCTAATGTGCTGAATCCTGGAAAGCTGGAGAGGTACAGAGTACTCCCTGCTCGGGAAAGCCTTTCTTATGCAGCATTCTAGACCATTGTTTAATACTCACAGCGCCCTTTCAATACTTCTTAATAGATCTGCTAATGTAAACAGAATGCTTTCTCTTGACCAATAAAACGACCTGGCACAGCTAGGAGTGAGGTCCAAAACCTATTCGAAATCCTCATTTCGACACAACTTGGAAATGGTAAATAAAGTTCAATAGTATTTTCAAGATGTATAAATTAACCAAATAAAGGTCACATTTGATGTATCAGCTAAGAATTCACACCACCGTCACATGAAGCCAAGCCTTCTGAGGGGATTTTGAAAAGTTCCAAGTTAATGAGAGAGTATACATTAATCATCAGATGAAGCATTCAGCAGGAATTCAGGGAGCCTAGGTTGTAGCTGGATTCATTCATGTATTACTGCACTACTTTCAGCACTCTCCACTCCTGTGTCCCCCCTCTCTCCACATCTTTTAAGATGGGGTAACGGGGATAATGGGGTAATGATCTGGAAGCATTGTTCAGTGGTAGAGCAGCTGTCCAACATTCAAGAGGAGCTGCGTTTAATCCCTCTGCCTCAAAACAACATTAAACTTTTCAAGTTGTGTCTTGTATGATCTTTATTTAAACTCATTTCATTACATTTGACTACTTACTGATTACATGTATCAGTAGGCATGTACATGCCACGGTGTGGTCCTAATCCTGGTCTGTCTACCACAGGGAACCTGGGGATCAGCTCAAGTCATCAGGACTGCAGGCAGACTCCTTTCCTGTCACGTTGATGCCGCTCATCAGTACTAGCTTCACGTTTTATGCTCTCAGCTCACTCAGCTCACATACACCCTGGAATCCCCACCATAAAACCTAACACCAGATATAATATGGGTTCAACAAATCCAAAACCTCGGAAACATAGTCTTGGATAAGGATATAAATAATCTTCAAAATTTAGCACTCAGGAGCTCTGGAACAAGTTCCCCTTTCATAAAGGTGCTGTTTGTTTGGGATACTGAGCAAATTGTCTCATTCTGCCAGGGTGACCCCTTTGCTAGATGCAGAGGTTGGCCTTTCTGTGTAAGTCAAGTATTGATGAGCTCCTGGATTCTCACTCCCCTCTCTTAACAGGGCACTGTGGCTTCCATTCAATCCTGCCTCAGAGAGAGGCAGAGTGGGCTTGAAGATAAGGAAGACAGCAGCTTTGAGGTACAGGGTGTTCCTCGTCATAGGAATACCACTGAAGGGAGGACAGGAAAGTGGGTTTCTGCCCAACCCCCATGTTCTCAGATCACAAAAAACATTGGGAAGCGTTTAGACTATATGTCATAGAATATGTCATAGAATATGACACCATTCTTATTTGGTCATCATCCCCTATCCCATTTGACAGTAGAAATATGTTTTTCACTCATATTGAATACGGTCTTTTGGTAAGTCTGAGCTCTCTGAAATGAGAGCCAATAAATTCCACAGGCACAGGACTGAGATTAGAGGCTTATGAACATTTCTCTCAACTCACCAAACTTCTTTCTATATGGGAAAGTACAAGGAGATCCATATAATTCGTGGGGCTCATAGTTTTCTTTGTGAGAATATAAAATTAACTTGGACCACTTATTATTTTTATGAGATCAAGTGTACATAGTTAGACCTGATTTTTTTTTCACTCTATGGAAAATATTGGCTTTCTGTTAATTGCCTGTGCAGTCTCAAAGCTCTTTATAGAGTCTTTCATAAGTGGTATTAATAGCAATGGTGGATTTTTTATTAATAATACATAATAACAATAGCTCTCATTAAAACAACATCAGTTAAGCGATTAGAGAAATGGTCGGAATTGTGGTTAGAAAATGGTCTTGTAGACATCAATCCTGCTGAAGTCATTTGTTTTTTTCTTATCAAATAGAGACAGTTATAATGGCCGATTAAGAGCTTAATAAAATTCTGCCCTAATTGCATAACTGGGGCCTGGGGGTTTTGTTTGTGGGAATGTCCTTGGTGATGTCTTATGGTGAGGCTTCCCCAGGAGAAAGAACAAAGGATCATTTGCAAGCTGCTCCTAAGTACCTAAGTAAGCCATGGTTTTCCTTTTTCTTCCTGCTCTGTAGTTACCATCAGGGCTGGAAATGAGCAGTCTCCCGGTTTTTAATCCCAACTTTGTTATCCAATGCCAGGAGACCCTATGACAATGTCCGTGAGGCTTGTGTTCTCAGATGTGTCAAATGAGGATAATGTCTACTTTGTCGAAATTTGATTTTGATTATGGAGAAACAGTGCTGGCTGTTGCTCTACCAAGTGCGCTCTGACTGTTCCCCTGGCACTCTCACCTTGTCCTGAGGCTCTGGTTTCCAGGGTCATCACTCTGCTTTTGTTGAGCTTATGCAAATTCTCAGGTACAGGGGGGCCTTCTGTGGGCATACAGAGTACCCCAACTCCACCCATTTCTCTGCCCTCTCTTTCCACCTACCCCCAAAGAAAACTGACGATAAATAAGCAAGATCTATCAATTCACCATGAGCCGAACTCTGGGAAAGCCAGGTCATATCGTGATTCTTTCTTCCCTGTTACATATTCTTTATACGTGAGTATATTCTAAAATAGGTTATGAAGCCACACATACTGTAAGAAGTTCAGATGTTAAAATCCTAAAATGATCAGTACAAGTAGAGTAGCATGAGGATAAACAATCTAAGGAAAGTGTGGTAGAAAGTCTACTGCAATTCAGGATGAAAATTTTAAGCACTGAACTTCCAGGCTGAGAAAGCAAAGCCCGGAACAGTGAAAGTATTTAAGGGAGATGAAGTTTACCCAAAATGTAACTCTTAGGAAATATATATATGTGTGTGTGTGTGTGTGTGTGTGTATTATACATATACATACATATGTATACATATGTACATACATAATATAGAATTATATATTCATATTCCTAGGTATTTATAGAAAGGTAATAATATCAATGCAGTTTTTCTTAGAGTGAAACTGAGTCTTCATATAGCTTTGTCAAAAAAGTCATAAGCGTTAATAAAATGTGAGCTGACCTAATTTATCCCGGGGCTCTCGGGAAATGTGCAGTGTTGAAGGGTTTGAAGCACACTCAGATCCTAACCCTCGTGATGTGAGCATCTATCTGGTTAGGCAGGGTGCTGACCTAGTGAGCAGGAATCAGAATACTTTTCTGCTTGCTTTGGCTTGCCATGTGTATTTTTCCTGGTCCTGGACCCAATGTGCCTTTGCTGAGTCTTCTCCCCGTGACCTTTGATATTTGGAAGGAGACTCCCAAATGGAGACAGGAGCCTTGGAGAGAATGGTCCACAACATGCTTGTCTTTAAGCTCCAGCTTTCATCTATAAATTACCTTGGAGGGAGAACGTACATATTGGTTCTCAAAAGGTATCAGAAAGGAAGCTTCATTAATCATTACATGGCCATTTCTTAGCTTTAGTCCTCCGGGTCTGGTAAGCCTTCAATCCCTAGTGACACCTTCTGGGCAGGGGTCTGCCCTTGCTGCATTCCATCAGCCTGCCTGTTCTTGAAAGTGCAAAGCTGCTGGTCAGGAGGTGAGGGGTTGGCTGCACCCCTCTGCTGTCAGCCACTCTGCTCATGGTTCAGGTTCAAGCAGGTGACCCTTGCCTGTGCAGCAGATTCCAGGGGCCCTGATTTCCTACCTGCCTAGGCCCCAGGAGTTGAATAAAGAGCTAGCAAGGCAAGGACAGAAAGGGGTTCTGGGTAGGGTAGAGAGGGGGAGGGAGAAGAAGAGCCAAAGGGGAGGGGGAGAGGGAGGAGGCAGAGATACAGACAGAGAGACAGAGAGCGCAGAGAAAGAGCCAGCATTAGATACCCCCTAGCCCATCCCTAAGTTACTAAACTGCTTCTTTGTGTCTGTAAACTCTGGGGTGAACCATGCCACTTCAGCCTTATGTTTCATTCAGGCACAAACCAAATTATGCTATACTTGCGTATATCTGAACATATTGGTTTATCTTACATAGAGTTTAATTGATGCAAACTTGAACTTCAGTATGTTAGATTTTCAGGGAAAACACCATCCTGCAATTTAGATCGCCGTGTTTTCTCTGAACAAAGAAAGAAAAAAAGAGCAAGGCAATTAGAACCCCGCTTCCTTTATTTCGTCCACGCTCTTCAACCACTACAAAAATCATGTTGAACCTCTTGTAGTGTGACTTCTGTCCTTCCCTGTCCAACGGCAAAATTCCTCCCTGAGCCAACATCTGCATCCTTGGACAGATGTACTTGCGTGCAAAGTCCACGCTAGCTGATCAAGCATGGCTTTGTTTGCACTTATTCACTGCTCGCCCAGCACTGCGGAAGTGGTTTTGCATATTAACTAAGTGCACAGTAACCTTTCTTTACCTCCTTAGAGCTCCACCCCCTCCCACCCGCCGGGGAAATCAACACTGTTACTAGCTGAGGAAGCTGCCAAGGGGTTGCCATGGCAACTGTTCAGCTTTCAGCAACTACTTTTCTGTCTTGGAGGGGAGGGGAGAGGATGGGGGGGGGAACACCACACACCCAACAAACTGAGGAGAACTAGGCAGTTTTCTGATCAGAGTTCAGATAAGGAAGGTCACAGCAATTTGCGGGCACTGACTAAAATAACCCCACGGCTGGGAGAGTTACCACGTAAGCACACTGAAAAGGTAAGTGCGGTGCAAAGGCAATAATTAAGTTATTCAGCAGTGGTCACAAGCTGAAGCATTTCGAATATTATCAGCCTGTGTCATCTAAGATGTTATCTCGTGAGTCTTTTCGTTTTCATCCTGAGCCAAACAACGATAATTTTTGTGGAATTCCAAATGTCAGTGAAGCAGTGCAGGAGGGTAAACCAGCCCCAGAGGGGGTCGCTCACATCTGAAAGTCATTTTCCAAAACTTCACTCAGCGCTGGAACAATGCGGCATTCAGGCGTACGGAGCTGGAACTATGTGCAGTGGCGGGTCAAAGCCCAGCCTCCCGGCTCCTCTCAGTGGGGCGGCTGGCTAGGTGTGCCAGGAAACAAGAGTCTCATTTCAAAGGACAGGCTGCTTAGGGTTAGGCAGGAAAGGGCAGCGAGTCAAGGAATGGAAGTTAAGGAACCTAATGCTAGCGAGTTGTGCAGACTCGCAAAGCTCTTGTAAACAGAGTCCAGACTCCCAGGCCCTCAGCAGAGAGTAGCTAACAGCTCAAGGTGACTCTTGGCAGAGAGCTGGAGGGTGGGGCAGGGCGGGGTCCTTAGCACTAGGGTGGAAGGACTTAGAAACCATGCCTCATCCTTTCTACTCTCTCTGTCTGTCTGTCTGTCTGTCTGTCTGTCTGTCTCTCAATAACACCTGCTCCTGCTGACCAGTAAGCTTCCTAAACATCCTCTGCATTCAACCTTTTCCTGCGTCATTGAGCCCTTTTTAGAAACAAAATAGGAAAACATCCTGCAGCAACCATACTTATACAGGCTACCTTCTGAATCATGAATGTGTTTTTCAAAACCTAACCACAGCTACAGCATCCAGATGAATATAAAGGAACTGGTTATAACACAGAGGAAAAAGGAAAACAAACAAAAAACGAAAAACACGAATGAGGCTGGGCTGTGAGAGAATGGAAATGCAACCCCCCCCCACACACACACACACAACGGGGAGATGCGGTTACTAACGCGCGTTTTCTTTTATATTTTATTTGCTGTTTATGAGTGTTTTTTCACACAGTCACGGCAGGGCAGTGCAGAGGCACTGTGCTCTCAGATGCCAGCACCTGTCAAAGGAGTCATCGTTCAGTACCACGACAAGGTATCGTATGTGTGACCAAGGGATAGCTGGTTCTCCGTGTGCACCAACTTGTGTTCAGATCTGAAGTACACAGCTGCCGCTGCCAAACTCCCACTTCCTGGGGACACTGCTCACTTGCATTTTTGCGTGGATTCTGACAAACGGAAAAGGACTCGGGTAGGAAAGAAGAGGCGGGATAGGCCAGGGAAGAAATGTCCATAAATACGGAAACCATTCTTCAAGGTGGCATTGAAAGCTTTACAAGATGTCTAAGATGAAAGGCCTTCATGGATGCAAAGGGCCGATGAGATAGAAGTGGGAAGATGTCAAATTAAAAAGGACCAGGTGCCCATCGCCATTTATTCTGGCAAAGTTGTGCAAAGCTCTAGAGAATAAGAAGAGCGATAGGTAAGGTAAAAGAAAAACATCCAGCCTTGATGCTGGATATTTCCCTGGGAAGCTGGAAGAAAGTTCTAAGAGTTAAAGACAGAGTGTAGCCTCCCTGTCACTGATGTAGCTAGAAGCCCCGTCTTACATAACCGTCACAGGATACAGAATGACAGTTCTTCAGTCTACAGTAAATGTGATGAAATTATCTCATCAGCCTCGTTCTCCTGAGTATTTTTCCAATTCCAGAAAACCATCTGTTAATATGACCTGTCTGCTAGACCCCCACATAGCACAAGGCATGGGTATTAGTATTCAAAGACATTCCTCCCTCAAATGATCTGTTGGAGGCCTACCAAGTTTAGTTTCTGCAGCCAGTTGAGACCAGGAATGAGACACGGAGAAATAATGAGGAGGAAGGGATGAGGGAGAGCAAAGAGAAAATTCAGAAATTTGTTGTAACCTAGCCACAGATTCTTGTGACTGACCTGATCTAATTCCAGCAGCGACTGTCTGTGAAGCCCTGGCACAGCTGAATTTATTTTTATTTTGCCTGCTCAGAGGCAGTGTACAGAGGATGCAAGAGCGCATCACCTTCAGGGAAAGGACTGCAGAGTGCATTACTCACCACTACACCCCCCCCGCCCTGCCTGGAAAGGTTAATTTGAATAAGGCTGCTGCTTCCACAAATAGAACAGTAAGGGCACACAGAGGGGTGGCCAATGAGAACGGTTTTCAGTGATGTCATACTTATACCTGCTTCTTATTATTTGCTGAATGGTAACAATGTGTTCCTTGAGTGTCACATTTTCATTGGTTAAGAGCCCTGCCAGTCTGAGTACTTCTGGAGAGTTTTAGACATTGCGGTTTCTTTACATGCCCAGGGTTTTTTTTTTTTTTCTTCAGTTTTTGTATCAACTGCAGAAGAGTGACCATTTTAAACATTTGTTCTGAAAACAAATATGGCAAACTTTATACTTCAGAATTGATTTGCAGAGTCTAGGGTAGTAGGTCCCTTTATGCAGCAGGAGCAGGATGAGAAAGAACATTGGTGTGTCAATGGGAAGACTTGTCTCAGTACTTACTGTCACACCAGTCTTTTGGGAAAACAATTTATGCCATTTATTTTACAATGTGATCCTCCACAGAGCACAGCTTTCTTCCACTGAACTAGATATAAACTTCCCTACTGGGGGAGATTGGGGTCACCAGAGAAAGGGAAACCTACATGCTCTATTTTTGTCCTAAGTAGCATTGATTTTTAAATCAATTAGATTTTATATCATTAAAACTTGTGCCTCAGGCCACTCAGGTCCCTGGGCTTTTCTAGGGAAACTCCTGCAGATAAGTTTGGGAAAAGCACAGTACCTTGACGGGGAGGTGAATGTGTTGTTCCTGAGTTAGGAATTAACCAACCTCCTAAAGGAACAGAGGAACATTCTGGTTAGCATGAGACACGAGGATGACTGGGAGGCCAGAGGTAAATGTTAGTGTTCAAAAGTCTTGGAGTTTGTGGTGGTGAGGGACGGGCAGGGCAAGTCTCTCCAGGCAAAGTCAGATCCTCAGAGAGAGAGAGAAGAGAAAGATGAGCTGTCCACACTCGGCTGCTAAAGCAGAAGGCAGACTTGGAGGTTAATCCATTGCACTGCCAGGCCAGCACATTAAATGCTCCGGTGAGCAGGGCAGGGCACTAAAGGACCAGTTAGCTTGTAATAGGCACAAAGCAAGGCAAGGGCTTCTTTGGGAGGAGGAGAGAGTGCTTGAGTATGCCTGCAGCAAACATCCCTCACTGGGTATATGCATTTAGATGGAAACGTTGGAAAACAGCAACCACAAAAAAAAAAACAACCCCCCCCAAAAAAACAGCAAATTAGGAAAGATAATTCAAGTTAGGAAGAACTAGAAAATACCAAGTGTTTTGATTGGGTTTGAAATGTCTGTCTGCAAGCTTGTTGTGTTTGAATTCTTGGTCCTCCAAACATGGCTGTCCTGGGAGACTGTTGAGCCTTTGGCATGTGGAGTCCAGCTGGCAGACACAGGCTGATACACACAAGCCTTTCAAGGTTGTGTTCACCTCTGGTTTTAGTCTGGCCCTGCATCCAAGTGCAGTATGTGAAGAAGTCATACCATAAGCTCTTACCAAAGAGAACGCAGCTGCCTCAGCTACCATGCCTTCTGTGCTATTCGTAACTGTACCCCTGAAACAATGAACCAAAATGAAGCTCGGCTTCCTCAAATTGCCGTTTTCAAGTATTCTGACTCAGTGACAAAAGAAGTAACTAGCAGACAAAGCATGTTGAATATCTATATCTCCGTTCAATAGCTAACATCAACGAGTTTTGAAATTGAAGGGTCTATAGCTGACTACACCATTGCTCACTGTCTTCAGGATCTGGTGAGAGGTTATCTGGATGGTACAAAATTATGATATTCATCTTTAACACCACCCCTACACTTAAAGCTCAGAGAATATCACAGAGGAGGGAGTGAGGAAAGCCAGAAGACCACGGCATCTGCTTTGCAATAGTGTCTTCTAGATATGACTGGGAAGCTGTGCCTATGAAAGCATAAGCATATGCTATGCACAAGGGAGAACATCAGTTGACAGTCAAAGATGGATGTGGAACTTGCCCAAACTCCACCCTTAGATAACGAGCTACTGATGACTACTGAGAGAGGTAGAGTCAGTCATCTCCAGGGACAAACCTCCTCACAGGTTGTTCAATCCATGTGGTCAGTCCTAAACACATAAACATAGGAGTAAACTGAACGGATGCAGACTGAGTTTACACACACATACACACACTGCACAAAAGAAAAAGCAATGCATTTGAGAAACATTTGCGGGGGATCATGGGAGGTGGTTGGTAGGAGGGAGGAAATGATGTAAATACAGTTCTCATGTGTGGGAACACCAGACCTTGAGCAGAGACCCACTTCCCCTTCTGCCTGGGAGTAGGCAGCTGTAAGACAATGTTTACTAAAAACATGTTTACTAAAAACAATACAATGCCTGGGGGCATTAAGTTCCTGGAAAAGGCCTGCCCACAGAAACCACCCTGACCTCGACCTTGTCCAAAGACTAACCACCTCTTCTGCCACGCCCAGATCAGTTTCTGGGGTCAGAACAGAACCAGCCAGGGGAGAGGAGAGAGCAGAAGCTTCTCTGGTGGGAGCCTTTCTTAGGAAGTTTTCTTGAACCTTTTTGGGGCCTGCTTAAAGTTTTCTTTACATCATTGAACAAATCTCTGTGTTGTCAATCCCCGACACCCTCCTCACGTTCTCGGACACAGGCCGCGCAGCAGACGCAACACTCATGCATGCTAGCCTTAATTTTTTTATTTTTTATACCATAAATAAATGCATGTATGGACATTGCATATTTATTGAGGTCCTTACTCTGGCAAGAGTATAAAAAATAAGAAAACACTGAATTTTCTTCAGGACTTTTCTCATGAATTCATGCTGGATTTCTTCAAACACCTTTTCTCCATGTGTTGTTGAAATGTA